TCCTCTTCGCTTTCAGCAAGCAAGAATTCTATCATCGGCATATCGCAGGTTGTTAATGAGTCTTCCTCCAATCCTGATGCCATGTTTTTCTTCATAGAACTCAGCTTCTCGGATTATTTGCTCAGCATACAGGTTGAATAAGTATAGTGAAAGAATACAACCCTGTTGCACACCTTTCTTAATTTTAAAGCATTCAGTGTTCCCATGTTCTGTTCAAACAACTGCCTCTTGGTCCAGGTATGGATTCCTCATGAGCACAATTAAGTGTTCAGGAATACTCATAATTAACAATGTTGTCGATAGCTTGTCATGATCCACATAATTGAAAGCCGTTATGTAGTCAGTAAAGCACAGGTAAACATCTTTCTGATATTCTCTGCTTTCAGCCAAGATCCATCGGACATCAGCAATGATATCTCTCGTTCCATGGCCTCTTCTGAATCCAGCTTGAACCTCTGGAAGTTCTCTGTCAATGTATGATTGTAGACATTTCTGTATTACCTTTAGTAAAATTTTAATCACATAGGATAGCAAAGATATCGTCCGATGATTGCCGGACAATAAACAAAATCGTACCAAGCCTGTATAGGGTTTATGAGGAGGAGCTTGTGAGTCTGAAGAGCTGACTCTGCAGTTCAAGCTGACCTTGTGGTCCAGTGCATTATCCAACAGCGCTACACCAGGATTCCAAAGGGTATGTTATTACGTGCCTCTGATTCACAGGGACCCTATGTAGGGTTTCCAAGGAGCAGCTGATGAGTTTGAACCACTGACCTTGCAGTTCAAACCGATGTCACGGTCCAGTGGGACTCCAGAGGGTTTGTTGTTGCTGTTGTTAAGTGTCATCGAGTAGGTTCTGACACACAGTGACCCAGTATAGGGTTTCCAAAGAGCAGCTGGTGAGTTTGAACCACCGACCTTGTGGTCCAAACCAACCTTGCAGTCCTGTGTGTATCCCTCCAGCGCCACACCAGGATTTTGGTACTGGATTCACTGGGTTGATTTGATACTTGAACTTAAACTAGAAAATAGCATTGCCATCCCATAAACACACACAAGTACACACAAACTAAACCCCTTCACAACCGCATCTGGTGGATCTAATTTGGGGAAAGATACTAGTGTTGTATAGATTTCCATTCATGTGTCTCCTCAAGCCAACAACATTAAAGCGTATGTGTGTTTATAATGCTCCTAGCTAGCGTTTACACGCTTTCTACCCTACCCAACCCCCATGCCCGCATCCCTTTTCATTTATAGCTTATTTTATTCTAGTTTTATTATTCACTCCATCACACATTATCAGTTGTTATCAGCCCTTGAGTTTGTCTTCTTATTTGTTGTTGTTGTTATGTGCCATCGAGTCGGTTCCGACCCATAGCGACCCTGTACAGGGTTTCCGAGGGTGTAAATCTTTACGGGAGTAGAAAGCCTCATCTTTCCCCCGCGGAGCAGCTGGTAGTTTCGAACCACTGACCTTAAGGTTCGCAGCCCAATTCGTAACCACTACGCTAGTCTGTTTAAATATGTCACAGACTGCCAGAAGGAGCAAATCTCTCTTGGTGGGACAAGTCCCTGGAAAAGGACACCATGCTTGGGAAAGTGGAGGGTCAGTGAAACACATGCAGACCCTCAATGAGATGGACTGACACCAGGGCTCCAACAGTGGTCTCCAACGCAGCAGCGACTGTGAGGACAGGGCCGTGTTTTGTGCCGTTGTGTGTGGGATTGTTCTGAGTGGAAGCTGACGCCACAGCTCCCATCAGGGGAACGTGTCTCCTCCACAGTGCTGCTAATCCTGTCCTCTGTCCTGCCTGCCTCCCCATTCTCAAATCCCTGTTCCTGGGATGGCCATCACACATTGCTCACAGTCTTTAATTATTTGGATTATGTTTTGTTGTTGTTGTTAAGTGCCGTTGAGCCAGTTCCGACTCATAGCAACCCTGTATAGGGTTTCTGAGGAGTGGCTGGGTGAGTTTGAACTGCCAACCTTGTGATTCAAACCGATCTTGTGGTCCAGTGCTTATCCTTCAGTGCCACACCAGGATTACATTTAACTTCATGTTTTTTCCTCAGTGAAGCAATTGAAGAGACCATTATCCTTTCTGATTTCAAGCTCAAGAATTTTTTTTAATGAGGAAGCACACATGCACAAATATGTACACATATGTGCATATGTTCGTGTGTGCTTGTTATTTAAAAGAAAAAGAAAAGAAAAAGGAGCTCTGGTAGTGTAATGGTTACGACTCTGGCTGCGAATCTCATGGTCAGCAGTTCAAAACTACCAGTGGTTCCACAGGAGAAATAGGGGACTTTCTGCTCCCGTAAAGGTTTACAGCCTTGGAAGCCCTACACAGGGTCCCTATGAGTCAGAACAGACTCCACGGCACATAGCCAACCAACCATATATATAAAGAAACGTGAAGACAATTATTTTATAAATACGTGACTGTATTTTTCTTCATGTCCAGAAACTCTGATTGAATAGAACTCAGGTATTCCCCCCCGACCAACAACTCCCACACAATTCAAAGATCTAACACCACGTTTCCATTTGTACCAAAATGGGCAAGATAATGAAGGCACAGGCTCACTTTGGGTCAACCACGGAGTCAGGAGGCACTAATGACACAAAAAGCAGAAGGGTACAATCACAAAACGCCAGTGTTCAGAGTCTTGGGTAGCTTTTCTACCTTTAACATTTGGCAAAATTCAGTCTAGATATTTCACAGGAAAAAAGAGAGAGACGTTACAGTTACAATGTCTGATTGCCTAGAATGAGTGTTCAAAACAAGGAGAAGGGACAAAATGAAAGGAGGAGAAAAGAGATGCCCACTCCCTTGGATTCTCCTTCCTTTCTGAGGGTTTCAGATGCCCTGCCCATAGAAATGCCAGCTAGACCTGAAGATTTAAGAGACGTTGGGTAGTTGCTGGTCTGGTCCCTCAAAACACAACTACATGTTGATCTCACAATCACACAACTAGCTGGATGTCTACTTTTCAGTTAGAAACCATAAGCCACATTTGGTTATTTAAAGGTGACCTAAAACGTTTAAAGACTGTAGGGTCAGCATTGGGCTGCAAACCCCAAGGTCAGCAATTCAAACCCACCAGCTGCTCCTTGGAAACCCTATGTGGGTTCGTTATGAGTTGGAACCGACTCAATGGAACTTAACAACGATAAGAACAACAACACATTTAAAATACAGGAAAAGATATGCTCTACTGTCCCAACTTAAAAAGAAGCAGCACAAAACAGATGACCTATTGAGACCAACGGCAAATAAATACTCTCTACTCTAGGAAATTATGGGGATTGCTTCTCAATTTCTGATAACCACTTCACTCTGCACACAGCAGAAACTCGCTTCATGATTTTAGGAGACTATCTCCATCATATAAAAGATGAGGGTGTAAGTTAGGTCTGAGCAGGCAGAAGAGCATCCTGCAAAAGCACAAGACAAATGAACAACACTCGGCAGACCGTGTGGACATCATAACTATGATCTATGTGATGGTATACAACTGCTTGCTTGGCCTGGGCTAACGTCGTCACCCGCTGCAAGACCAGCGATGGTAACCAACCATTCGACAAGCACGCCCATACTTACAACTGCAGAAATAACACGGACATGCATCAACTACCCAAGTTTTATGTATATATTTTAGAATTTGTCCGGGGAAATTCATTTTGGTAGGATTTTCCACAACCTTCCCCTAAAGCTACTTTTGATCGCCTTGGTCTTTCTACATCAGAGTCTACAGAAAATTGTGTTATGTTCAACTGTTTCCAAGTATCAGGAACAAGGGCGCTGAAACAGCAAGGAATTGTAACTATTTTTCAGCGAGTTACAAAAAACTGTTCTGCATGCTTGAAAAGTTCATTGTAAATGAAAATAATAATACAATACTTATAGGAAGAGCTCAACAATTTGGTGCCTTTTTTTTTTCTTTTTGTTTTAAAAACAATCTCTAATACTCATCTCTGACAACACAGTATGTATATAGATAGGAAGTTCATTTCCATGTTTCTTACATAAAAATAACTATCAGAAATTATCAATCGATCACTGTCAGCTGATTTATATCCAATTGACTCACTGCAGAAGGGAGACAAAAAAAAAAAACCTAAAGTAATCATTAAAGCTCACAGTTTAAATGTTTTCCTTTTTTTTTTTTTTTTGCATGTTTGAAATTTTTTGGTGGCTTGTCTGTGCTCTGTTGCCAGCTGGTTTCCCTATCAGTGGCCTCCCAGTAGGCTAGACAGGAAGCTCGAAGACTTCTTACTTTGTTGTACTGCTGCTTCCTGGTCTGGTGTAAGTCCCAACTCACTCTCAATTTGATCAAGTTCTGCCTGGTCCAGGAGTTCAAAGTCATCACCTTCTTCAGTGTCTGTATCCTCGGCGAGGCTGGCCGCGGCCTGAGAAAGGGCTTGCTGTTTACCCTGGAGCTGGTCTTTGAGGGCAGCAGTCACGGCAGCTGAGATGACGTCCCCAGCCAAGTTGCTCATCAGCTGAAAGGTCTGGTCACTGTTCAGAGGAAGCGTGAGACCAGCCACCGAGGGCCTCTCTTGGTTCAATCTACGGCCACTGTCCAACTGGTCCTTCTTTCTCTTGAACTCAACAGGCAGGCCAAGGCTTAATTCATCTTCATCATTTGTTCCCATGCCATTTTCTAAAGATGGAAATTCTGAAAGGTCTCGAGAGAAGACTTCCTGTTCACTAGGTCGGTCAAGATCTGTGAAATGTGTAAAAGAGATTCATATGTAAGCACCATAACACAGAGATGACAGCAAATAGATCTGGTTTTAGTATGACCCTCTCTGGTCAGCCTTGACCTTCATCTAAGCTCAACTTAAATCAGCTTCTCCACTGAATTGGGAACCCTAGGGATGGCAATGTACTCCTTACTTAACAACTAACTTGTTATTCAACACTTTACATTTATGAACACAGTAAAACATCTACCATCTGACTATTTTGTGTAATAACAACGTACCTTGAAGTTCAAGGTGCAAGGCAAGAATGACGCTGGCTGGGCCATGATTCTCAGCAATTTGCCCTTATACGTAATGATGTAATGTGGCAGGTATTTACTAACGTAACTACCCTCCATTTTACGATACGTGATCATCCTCTAACTTCCCACAACGCCAACATTCACATAATGACCTGGGTTTTGGAACTAACCCTGTCAGTAAGCAGGGAATGGATGCACTACTACATGTGTACCCTATAGTTTTTTGCCTTTCTGAAAAAGGACAAAACAGTATATGACTTAATATTCAAAGTTGTGTACCATTAGTTTGGAGCTAGAAGTCCTGGTGTGGCGCTGTGGGTTAATGCGCCAGATTGCAAAGTCGTTTGAACTGCAAGGTCGGTGGTTCAAGCTCATCAGCTGCTCCTCAGAAACCTTATACAGGGTCACTATGGGTCGGAATCGACTTGATGGCACTTCACAACAGTAACAAGAAGTTTGGAGCTGACTAAAGTTTAAATGGTCATCACAAACAAAAATTCCATCTTGCCCTTGGGTTGGGAATAGTTTAGTTTAAGCCAGTGTAGAAATGTGTGATGATGAAAATTTTTAAAAAGACTCCAATTGGACGTTTTCATGGATTCTGGCACGACTATTAATGAGTATCATCTATTCCTAACATTTTGATTTGTGGAGATAAATATGTGTATCCCTAAACTTGTATTTCTTTAAGACAATGAAATAAAAGTTACTGAGTCTTCTACTCCATATGCATCCCAAGAGAATGTGGAAACATTCGGCTCTCCATAAATACATCTGAAATGGACTACACCCGTCGACCACTGAATCCTTGAGCAGTGGCCACTGAGTCAATTCCAACTCATGGTGGTCTCATGGGTGTCAGATTAGAACCATAGTCCACAGGGTTTCAATGGGTGACTTCTCAGAAGCAGAGCACCAGACCTTTCTGCGTGGATGTGGACCTTTAGTCTTTCAGTTCCAAGTACATGCATCACACACACATATAATATATGCAAGTTGGTTCTGACTCATAGTGACCCTTTATAAGGTTTCCAAGGAGCGACTGGTGGGTTTGAATTGCTGACCCTGCAGTTAGCAGTCCAGTGCTTATCCCACAGCAACACACTGGTATGGTGGTTATGTGCCATGGAGTCAGTTCTGACTCATAGTGACTCATCTTTACAGAAGCAGGTATGTATGTATGTATATATTTGTGTGTATGTGTGTGTATATATTGGCATCTTGGTGTGGCACGGTGGGTTAATGCACCAGACTGCAAAGTTGTTTGAACTGCAAGGCTGTTAGTTCAAGCTCACCAGCTGCTCCTCGGAAACCCTATACAGGGTTGCTATGGGTCAGAGCCGACCGATGGCACTTAACAACAACATATATATGTATATATATGTGTGTGTGTGTATATATATATATATATATATATCGATATAGAGATATATAGAGAGATATATACAGTTTAAGCCAATACAGATGAGGCTTTCTGGGAGCAGAAAGCCTCATCTTTCTCCTGCAGAGCAGCTGGCAGCCTCAAATCATGGACCTTGTGACTCTCAGTCCGGTGTTTATCATAAGGAGCCACAATGCTCCCATCTATATACACAGCACACAATAACAATAACAACATACATTTGTATATTTACATGTGTGTCCACCACTCATCTAGCAGTTTGTCATACTATGGTATGTGTTGCTTGCATGTTGCTGTGATTCTGGAAGCTTGGCCACCGGTATTTTAAATACCACCAGGGTCACCCATGGTGGACAGGTTTCAGCTGAACTTCCAGACTAAGACAGACTAGGAAGAAGAGGCAGACCACTGTTGAACGTTTAGCCCCTGTCAACCCTTATGACTAGAAATGGGACACTGTCAGAATAGTGCTGGAAAACGAAAACATTTGAAGAACACCACAATATTGTCACATATAGTGTTGGAAGACGAGCCCCTCAGATTGGAAAGCATTCAAAACATGACTGTGGAAGAGCCGCCTCCTCAAAGTAGAGTTGACTATGATGACGCTAATAGAGTAAAGCTTTGAGGACCTTCATTTGCTTATGGGGCACAATTCAAAATGTGGAGCAATAGATGTAAACATCCATTAATCAATGGAACACGGAATGGATGAAGTACGAAATGAGGAAAATTGGAAGTTGTCAAAAATTAAATGGAACGCAGAAGATCTATCTTCTAGGCATTAGTGAGACAAAATGGACTTGTATTGGCCATTTTCAATAGGACAAATTAAAGATGAATGCCATTACATTCATGATCAAAAGAACACTTCAAGATTTATCTTGAAGTACAATGGTTCTGTGATAGATAATATCCATTCACTTACAAGGAAGAGGCTTGGTGTGGTGCTGTAGAATAAACAAAGAGCAACAACGTCAGTTTAAACCACAAGGTAAGCAGTTCAAACTCACCAGCCACTCCTTGGACACCCTATACTGGGTCGCTATGAGTTAAAACTGACTTGATGGTACTTAACAACAACAACAACAAATAGCATATTTTCTTTTCCCATTTAACAATTGACAGAAGCATGCACTTATAATAATAATAAAAATAAAAGTCTTCCAAAATCTGAACCTACCATCAGACGTGTCTGTCTGTGGAGTATATCCCTCAGAGAGGTTGAAGGTCCCGTTATCCGTCCAGGACACTTCTGATACATCTGTGTCTGACACAGATAACTCTTTAGCAGCAACCGTGAGGCTCATCTGAGTCAACATAAGTAGAACAACCGTGATACATTTTAAATTCCTAATAAAAAAACTTTTGAAAAAGCCATACTATGACCAAAACATGTTTGAGCAATAAAAGCCAGATGATTCCACCACCCCTGCACACACCCACACACACACTTTTTGAAAATGTTCAATCAATCACCTTTTAGAAGTGGGAGGCATCTATGAAGAAAACCATTCGGCTTTGATGCATGTAAAGAAAGGTATCATCAAATGACACAGGAGAAAAAGAAATGGCAAATACCTTAGGGCAAAGGGCAGAAAAGTCTAATTCACTGTCATCCTTGTGACTTTTTTCTTTATCTGCTTCTGTTGAGAAAAATAATGTGGACACTTTCAGTTTCCTGGCTCACACAGATAGACTGCTTTCTTTTTTTCCATTGAAGACCTGCTCTTACCCCACATTTCTCATAGTCTCTAATGCCTCCATATAATTAAATCTTTTCACATATTTACAAAATGCTTGATTTCCAAAGGAAATTGTCTCTTATGGCAATAGTCCTCCAAGTCTGGTCCATGGACCACTACAGCCCACAGCATCGCTGGAAACTTGTTAAATGGGCAGATTCCCAAGCCCGCCCCTCCCACTCCACTGCTTCTGAATTGATTCTGATCCTGGTGACCCACAGGACCAAGCAGAATTGCCCTATTCTAGACCTTCTGAATCAGAAACTTGGGGACAGGGAGAGTCAATCCATGCTTTAAGGACCCTTCCAAGTGATTCTGATGCAAACTACAGTTTGAGAATCACTGCTGGATAAGGTCATAGGTCATACTGAGAAGAGGAGAAGGATCCCCTATTTTCTTTATTCTACTCTTTCCCTCCCTTCTTATCTGGTTTCCGGTGTGGTACTGTAGGATCAGCACTGGACTGCTAATCCCAAGGTTGCTAATTCAAATCTACCAGTCTCTCCTCAAAAACCCTGTACTGGGTTCCTGTGAGTTGGAATCAATTCAACAGCAATAAACAACAAGTCTTTACTACCTGGCTCAGTTATTCTATTTACAATTGTCGTTGTTAAGTGCCATCAACAAGTCAGGCTCTGACCCAGAGCGACCCTGTATAGGGTTTCCAAGGAGCAGCTGGTAAACTTGAACCACAGGCCAAGTGGGCTTTGCTGTTCAGCGCATTAACCAACATCACCACACCAAGAGTCCTCTGTTTGCAACAGTCCCACCCAAATTGAAGCAATTTAAACACAGTAAATAAATCATAGATTTAAAAAACATAGACAGTGGTTTAACCGTTGTCTCCTCCATGCACAATTTGGATAAGAAGTCAGTTTATTAAAGGATTATGTTTGAGAATAGAATACAAGTCTTAGACCGTATTATTTTGGGGGATTATCTTCTAAAGCAGAATACCCTACAAGGTATCAAAGGTGGTTTATTTCATAGTAAAATTCTTGAATGGAATCTAAAGTTCAAACTTTACCTACCAGATCCCTCACGTTTCTTCTGATTAATAAATTCCCCAATTCCAAAGTCTAGTTTCAACAGAACTGACTTGATTTTGCTGTATAGTTTTTGTCCCATGTCATTACACTTAAACAGCGGGCACAAAAATGCACAGAGTACTGAAAGACACAAAGAAAGACAGGCAGAGTTAGGTGACCTTCCTTACAAAAAGATACACCTCAAAACACCACCCAAAACACCACTTCAGGTCTCAAAGTGACAAAAAGGAGCTTACTTTTTAAGAATATACCTCCGTTAATTCAGTTCCTAATTTCTATCCTAATTCCTGTAATCAAAATATTCTAATACACAGGCACACACACACACACACACACAGATGAAAGACTATCAGTTAGCGCAACTCCCTCCCTTCAATCCTTTTACCTTCAAAAAAATATACAGGATGCTTACCTGTTTTCACAACAATAGTCCTTGATTCAATACTCAGCGTGACATGTTTATTACACCCTCTTGTATCAGGGGAACATTATTCTAGTCTATGAGGAGCAGAGTTTTCATTCTCATGAAATCTACATTTTCTAGAATCATCATGATAGAAAAATTCTTCATCAAATCAGTCTCTGTTTTAAATTATCTTTGAACCTTAACCCTTGAGAAAACCCACTTCCTGAAAATTAGCTTGAAATTTTTAAAAAATATATTTTATTGTATTTTAGGTGAATGAATACACACAACAAATTAGGTTCTCATTTAACAATTTCTGCACAGCTTGTTCCATGACATTGGTTGCATTTGTTTATAATGGGTCAGCGTTCTCATCATTTCCATTTTGTCATTGTTATTCTGTTTCCATTAATTCAGCTTCCCTGGAATCCTGGTGTGGCACTATGGGTTAAAGCGCTGGGGTGCACAGTCGCTTTGAGCTGTATGGTCAGAGGTTCAAGCTCACCAGTCGCTCCTTGGAAACCCTATACAGGGTCGCTATGGGTCAGAACCAACTTGATTGCACTTTACAGCATGTCTTTCCTTAACTTCTCATCTTTGTTTGAGGGTAAATGTTGGACTGTTTGGTCTTATATAGTTGATTATTTAGGGCACACAGTATTCATGGGTGGTATTGTTTATTTTATAGACCTATTATTTGGATGGAGTCCTAGTGTGGAGCTGTGGGTTAATGCGCTGGACTGCAATATCGTTTGAACTGCAAGGTCGGCAGTTCAAGCTCACCAGCCACTCCTGGGAAACCCTATACAGGATCGCTATGGGTTGGAATCAACTCAACGGCACTTAACAACAACAATTATTTGGATGAAAGTTGATCACCAAGAGTAGCTTTAGTTACAAGTCCAAAGGGTATGTTTAGGCGATAGTCTCAAGTGTCTGTCGGACCAGTAGATTTGGCTTTCTTTTATGAATTTGAATTTTATTCTATATTTTTCTCACCTTCCATCTGGGACCTTCTATTGTGTCCCTGGTTAGAATGGTTGGTTGTAGTCGTTCTTCTGGTCTCAGGCTAAATGAGATTGTGATTCATGTGGATCTTTTTTTTTTTTAGTTAACATTTATTGTGATTTAGGTGAAAGTTTACATAGAAATCAGTTTTCCCAACCAACAGTTCATACACAAATTGTTCCGTAACATTGGCTGCAATTCTTGCCATGTCAACTCTCTCCTTACTTTCTCCCTGAACCCCTCCCTCCCCCATTTCCATTATCTGGCTTCCCTGTCCCTCCCAGTCTTCTCATCTTAAGTTCTGGGCAAATGTTGGTCTCCTAGAGCTAAATGTCCTAAGGAGCACATTCTTCGCATTGTTTGTTTTATTGTCTCATCTATTACTTGGCTGGAAGGAGGTCTCCAGGAATGTCTTTAGTTTCAAGTTAGAGGCTCCTCTAGTCCTGTCTGACCAGTAAGTCTGGTCTTATTTTAGGCTTTGAATTTTGATTTTCCTGTTGTTGTTGTTTTTAACACTCATTCTAACTGATCCTGGTCTTGGTGGTAATGGTAGCCGAGCACCATCTAGTTCTTTGGGTTTCATGTAAGAGAAACTGTGGTTCATGTGGATCATTATGGATGAATTACTTTCTTGAGTTTTCACTTTTCTTTGTTCTCTGATGTTCCAGGTCAGAAGAGACCAATAGGTGTGTCTCAGATGGCCACTCACAAGTTTTTAAGACCCCAGACACAACTAACCAAACTGGGACATAGAACACTGTCCCTGAATGCTATCTTTAGTCACACAATGGTGGTGGGTGGTCATGTTCCATGGGGTTGGTTCCAACTCATAGTAACCCCATATAGGATTTCTGAGGCTGTGAATCTTTACAGGAGCAGAAAACCTCATCTTTCTTCCATGGAGCTGCTGGCAGTTTTGAACTACTGTTAACCGTGAGACGAGCAACCTGACTTGTAACCACTACACTAACAGAACTCCAACAATAACTTACCTTAATTAGCAAAGAACTTATGCTTTCACAAACTCCAACAGCTAGGCTGAAAGCTACATTTTAAGTCAAATCAGTAATTAGCTGAGTTGTTCATGTTCCATATTCATGAGTCACTAGTGTTGGTAAGTGCCGTTGAGTTGGTTCCAACTCATAGTGACCCTGTATAGTTTCCAAGGAGTGGCTGGTGGGTTTGAATGGACGACCCTGCGGTTATCAGTCCAGTGCTTATCCTTATGAAAACATTATTCTGGCCCTACTTCCAAGATATATATAATCACTAGCGATAACGCTAGAATATAAGAGTCTATATAATAAAAGATTTTTCTTATTTGGAACATTTTTGACTCTCTATTTGTAAATTGTGTATTAAACAAACCTTTATTTCTATTACAGACTTAATTAATACAGTTTTTGTTTTAACATTTGTTAGACTCACATCAGTTATTGTTGTTAATCATCATCGAGTTGATTCTGATTCATAGCGACCCTGCATAGGGTTTCCAAGGAGCAGCTGGTGGATTTGAACCACTGATCTCATGGTTTGCAGTCCAATGTGATCCTACAGTGCCACACCAGGAGTCATTAGGAGCATGTTGTCAAAACAATCTCCATTACAATCAAAATGATGAACCTATCTTGTTGCTGTTGTGTGCTGTGGAGGTGATGGCAGTGCCCCATGGGATCTCCTAGGTTGTGATCTTCATGGAAGAGTCCTGATGTGGCGCTGTGGGTTAATACACCAGACTGCAATGTCATTTGAACTGCAAGGTCGGCGGTTCAAGCTCACCAGCTGCTCCTTGGAAACCCTATAGAGGGTTGCTATGGGTCAGCACTGACTCAACAATACTGAACAACAGTATTGGGAACAGATTGGCAAGTGTTTTCTCCCATGGAGCCACTGATGGATTCAAACTTCTGAACTTTAAGTTAGCAGCCAAGGGCTTTAGCTATTGTGTTATGTAACGATTCAGCCAGGCTTCCTACAAGAACTTATCTACCACCCAGAAATTTCTCATATTTTAAATCATTGTCCTCTACCCATCCCTGTCTCCACCCACCTAGTCTCCAGGCCACCACCTATTTCCTCACTAACTGTTGGTTTGCATTCTTTGAGAATTATAAGTACACACTCTCCTTTTAAAATATGGGTTCTAGTCAGCCTAATTATTTTCAGAATCACCAATATTTTTGCACGTCATCAAGTTTTTGCTACTGAGTAGTAACCCCTGCATGGACATACTTCAGGTTCACTGTCCACTCATGTGTTGATGGACATCTGGACAGTATTCAGTTTTAGGCGACTACAAATAACACTGCCATGAACATTCATGTACAACTCTTTGTGTGGACATTCACCTTCATTTCCACGGGTTAGCTCTGGTAGCGTAGTGGTTATGAATCGGGCTGCGTTCCGCAAGGTCAGCAGTTCGAAACTATCAGCTGCTCCATGGGAGAAAGATGAAGCTTTCTGCTCCCATAAAGATTTACAGCCTCGGAAACCCTGTTCAGGGTCACTATGGGTCAGAACCGACTCGACGGCACTTAATAACAACAACAATACTCAACTGTGGAATGGATGAACCATCTGGCAGCTTTTAAGTCACTGCCAAACTGTTATCCAAGGGGCTGTGTCATCCCACCTGCACACTAACAGGGTATGACAATTACAGTGGATTCAGAACTTCTCATACTAGCCATTCTGTTAGGTACCGTCAAGTCAGTACTGACTCATCGCAACCCTACACTTAACAGAACGAAACACTGTCCAGTCCTGCACCAACCTCACAATCCTTCCTATGCTGGAGCCCACTACTGCTGCCACTGTGCCAATCCATCTTCCATGTCTCCGTTGACCTTCCACTTTGCCAAACATGAGGTCTTTCTCCAGGGAAGGACCTCATTCGGGTGAAGCGTAATAGTGTCTCACTATTGGTTGGTTTGTTTGCAGTTTTTGTTTTTGAGTCAGGGAACATGCAAAATGACTGATATTGATGTGTTTGTCAAGGGTTGAGAACATAGCTTATTTTATCCTGTTAAAACTTTTTGTGTGAATTGAGTGAAGGTTTACAGATCATCAGTTCTACATTCAACTAATCAGCCACCTCATTTCATCTCGATGATCATCATCCCTTCCATGAACACCTCTTACCCCATGTCTGTCTTCTGTTTCTTGTTTCATTCTTCCTTCTATTCCAACCCTTCCGAGTCTTGTCCCTGGGTAAACTGCTGTGCTGTGTATCTCCAGTGACTGACTGTTCTATGGTGTGCACACCTCATTAGTGTCGTTGTCCCCTGTCCCTCCATATACCTGTCTATTGTTTGGCTGAAAATGGAGCCACGGGGCTGAATTCCGTTCCAGACCTGAATGGTGAACAGGGGACATAATCTTGGAGGTTTCAGCAGTCTCTACCTGACCAGCTGTTGTTGTTGTTGTTGTTGTTGCTAAGTGCCATCGAGTCAGTTCCGACTTACAGCAATCCTGCATAGGGTTTCTGAGGTGCAGCGGTGAATTTGAACTACTGCCCTTATAGTTACCAGTCTAGTGCTTATCCCACAGTGCCACACCAGGACTCCCTCTGACCAGTAAGCCTGGTCTTTTTTACAGTAACATTTATTTATAGCTTTATTGATATAGTTTAAAATAAAGATAATTATTCCCTCAACAGTTCTGCTTTTCACAGCTGTTCTTGCAATTTTAAAATATAAATTTGTCTACAGAGGAGCACAGTGGCTCGGTAGGATAAGCACTGGACTGCAAACAAGGTCAGTGGTTTGAGCCCACCAGCCACCCCAAAGGAAAAAGATGAGGTTTCTGCTCCCGCAAAGATTTATAGCCTCAAGAACCCAGTACAGGGTCACTATGAGTTAGAACCGACTCGACGCCACACAACAACAACAGCAGGAGAAAGGAGAAGCTCTGCTTGGCCGGGGAGTAAAATCCTATCTATATGTTCTGCAATAAGGAGCTCATCCTTTCTCTTCCATATAATGGAAGGTCTTGCTGATGCTTCAAACGATACCACAAGCATCATATAGGTTACGCAAACATTCCGCTGTACTTACATAGTAGATAGCTGAGTACGACCCCAGGAACGTAGCTTCCCAAGATCGTAAAAAATGTGCACACGCTGCAGACCAGGAGGCAAAACTAGAGAAGAAAGAGGGAACAGTTACTCCTACTAAACACCAAGATACTTTTGAGCACACGACTGACACACACACATGACTTTATTTACATGTGACCTAAGAGCTCTGCTGGCACACTGATTAAGGCGCTTGGCTGTAAACCACAAGGTCAGTGGTTTGAACCCACCAGCTGCTCCCCGGGAGAAAGATGAAGCTGTCTGCTTTCAAGAAGGTTATGATTCTCTGTCCTGTCGCGTTCACCACGAGTGGGAACCCACTCATAGGCAGTGGTTTTTGGTGTTTTTGTTTTTGTGGGGGATGATTTATGATCTATAAAAACCCACTGCCAACAAGTCAATTCTGACTCATAGGGACCCACAGGACAAAGCAGAACGCTCCTTAGGGTTCCCCAAACTGTAAATCTTTATGGGAGCAGTCTCATCTTTCTCCCAAGGAGCTGCTGGTGGGTTTGAACTGCTGACCGTGAGGTTAGCCACCAAGGTGTTAACCTGCTACACCACCAGTGCTCCTTAGATGCTATGTTCATCCAGCCGAAGTCTACTGTGTTGTTGTTGTTGAGTGCCATTGAGTTGGTTCTGACCCTTAGCAAACCTATATAGGGTTTCCAAGGAATGGCTGGTGAGCTTGAACTGCTGACCTGTGGATCAAACTTACTTTGCAGTCCAGTGCATTCACCCACAAAGCCACACCAGGAATCCTTTACCACAGACTAAAAGATGAGGCTTTCTGTTCCGGTAAAGATTTACAGCCTCGGAAATCTTGTACAGGGTTGCTATGAGTCAGAACCAGCTCCACGGCACACAACAACAACAACAAGAGTGATGGTGAGAGCTCAGAGGACAATTAAGCCAGAGAAGAAGGACCCCCATTCACTATGCTTGTGGGGCTGTATTACCGCCAAGTACAAGTACAAGAGAAGCCAAGATAGCTAGGCTTCGTCTCTCCTACTTTGGACACATTGTCTGGAGAGAACAGTCGCTGGAGAAGGATGTCATGCTGGGTAAGGTGGAGGGTCAGAGAAAAAGAGGAAGACCCCCAAAGAGATGGATCAGCCAGGTGACATCATTGATGGCGTCAAGTGTGGCGGCGGTAGTAAGGTTGGCGGTAGTAAGGTTCGTTCTGCTGTGCATGGGGTCGCTATGAGTCGGTTCCGACTTGATGGCACCTGACAACAACAACAACAACAAGAGAACTCTAGGGGGATATGTCCCCCAGAAACTTTTGTTACTAAGCATGTCTTACTGGCGACCATAACCTGGTAATCAAACCTTCTCCTTCACACTTGTTCGGTGTTGCCAGGCTGTCTCAGCTCATTGTGAGCCCGGTGTACAACAGAATACAACACTGCCTGGTCCTGAGGCAGTCACACATTGTTGGGTTTGAACCCATTGGTGCAGCTACTTTGTTGATCTCTGCAGTTGAGGCTCTTCTTCCTTTATGCTGACCCCTCCCCACTTTACCAAGCTTGATGTCCTGCAGGGACTAGCCCCCTCCTCATAACATGGCCAGAGTACATGAGGCAAAGTCTCACCATCCTCGCTTCTAAGGAACATTCTAGCTAAACTACTTTATGCCCAACCAAGTTCACCAACACAGAGAACCGTGTCACAGAAATTAAAGGCATTTACAAAAATCTGTTAAGCTATTGTCATAAATCAACTAGCTATTACCATCCCCCAAGCTATGCCCGCCCCTCAAATGATACCACTTATAGGTCACACGGAGTCCTGGGATGGTGCCATAGGATAAGCACTCAACATCAAGGTTGGTTTGAACTGCAAGGTCGATAGTTCAAACTCACCAGCCGCTCCTAGGAAACACTATATAGGGGTGCTATGAGTCAGAATTGACTCGGTGACATTTAAGAGCAACAACAACACAGGTTACATAAAATCCAATTATCAACTGGAACAAAACTCAAATGTGTACCATCATTTTCATCCCTCCTGCACTTAGGACAAAAAAGGCAAAAAAGAAAGAGAAAATAATATTTGGTTGTTTTAAGAAATTTTTTTTAAATCTTCAGAAAGTGCCCTTCATTCCATCAGGTGCATCAAGACAGAAGAAAGTTTTCTCGACTGTCTCTGACTGATTCCCACACTCCTGTATGTCTTAAACTACTTGACTTCTATTGCTTATTTTTAAATATTGCTATTACATTAAACTGATAAGTAATCAAATGAAATCCATCAAAGGAGTTTAAAAAAGACACTTGAGATACATTTACAATGCCACACAGAGAGAGAGAGAAAAAATAGGTGTTAAAAGTTGGTCATGTAAAACCAAAAACATCTAAATGATTTAAGCTTCTTTGTTTGTACGTTTAGGGTCATGGGACATCCCAGTGAACTGACCTTAATGAATGCTTACTGATTCTGTTCTACCTGCTAGTTCATTACATAGTGCCTGAGGTTTTAAATGCTTGTGAGCGGTCTTCCAACACACACCAATTGTTTGCTAGTCATTTGGAAGGAAAATCAGGAATAGGACCAAGATCATTTGTCTCCAAGAACAACTATCTCCTTCATCATGGATGGTGCCTTATCAAAGATTCTATACAAGATTCTTGACCAAAAGAGGAAAAATGCAGAACAGAGTTTCAAACTGTCCTGGACTCCAGACTTCCTGGAGCCATGAAGGCTGGATAAACAATTGCTTTGAGAAAATCATTGTACCTTAAACCAAAAATATCCCCTGAAGGCTTCATAAAACCAAACGGTAGTTTAATTCAACTAGCAAAAGCAACTGTCTGACCCACTTTTATTTTCTCATTCGCTGCCCACAAGTGCCTGGCGGCTATCAAGTTTGACCCCTAGTGACAGCGCTTAACTATGGCACTACCAGGGCTCTTTGGAGAAAAATTGTTTTTGTTTAGTGCTGTAGAGTCGGTTCTGACTCATAGTGACCCTGTATGGGGTTTCTGAGGAGCGACTGGTGGGTTTGAACTGCTGATTTTGCAGCTCAAACCAACCTTGTGGTCTAGTGCTTATCCTAGCATGCCACAATTCAGTGTGAGTGGTTTGCATAGGAGTGGTGTCCTTAGAAGAGCAGAGAAGAGATGCGGAAGAAAAGGCCGAGACAGAGTTACACTCCAGCACTGGCAAACTGAGGGAAATGGGAGAGAGAAGAAAGGCTCTCCAGACCTGAACCCTGAACTCGGATTTCTCGCCTCCAGAACTATGAGACCATACATAACTGTCATTTCAAGCTACCCACTTTGTGGTACTTTATTAAAGTAGCTCTAGGAAGCCAATTAAAAACAACAACAAAAAAACAAATGTCTGCCTTGAGCATTATGCTCTTTTAAGAACTATCTTGTTGTTGTTGTTGTTGTTGTTAAGTGCCGTGGAGTCAATTCCGACCCATAGCAACGCTTTATTGGGTTTCCAAGGAATAGCTGGTGAGCTGGAACCGCCAACCTTGCAGTTCAAATGGCTTTGCAGTCTGGCGTATTAACCCACAGCACCACACCAGGACTCCATGAACTAACTATCTGTAAGGGATCAAATCGACAATGGTTAATTGGACACATTACACAGGAACCTTCAGGGACAGTGAGTCGATGTTAGCAGGGGAGGAACAACCCCAAAAAGGAGGGTGAGAAGGGTGGCACACCTCAAAAAATGTCATCAAGGCCACTAAATCACACATGTGGAAACTGCTGAACTGGTGTATGTTTTGCTGTGTGTATTGTCAACAACAAAGACAGACAGACAGGCAAAGGGGCTTCAAAAATTTTATGTAGAAATGGGATAAAAAGTGAATGGAATTTTTCTGTGAACTACCTGAAGCCCTAAGATGTGTCTGTGTGCACAGATGTGCACCTGTGAGACAAATGGAAGGAACACATACCAGGAGCGGTCTGTGAGTTCAAGGGAGAGGAGACCGGGATATCAGCTTAGCTTTGATTTTCCATTCTTTGGCTCCTAGGTACAACCCTTCCACTTCAATATGCATAATTCTAGTATTTAATACTGAGAGTGCAGTGGCTCTGTAGGATAAGCACAGGACTGCTAACCACAAAGTCAGCAGCTTGAGGCTACCACCTGCTCCACAGGAGAAAGATGAAGCTTTCTGCTCCAGCAAAAATTGACAGCCTTGGAAACTCTATCCAGGGTCTCTATGAGTCCAAAGCAGCTCAACAGCACTTAACAACCACAACAGGATTTAATACTAGTGAGGCTGAGAGGTGCCTGTACTAGGCCCAAGAAGAGAGACTTTAAATGCTACATTCTAACAATTGGCTTTGCTTTTGAACAACTGGTAGAACTCTAGACTGGAAGGCAAAAGGTCTGTTGAGGGTTCTGTACACAAACCACACAATCAACACTGCCAATATCAGGCGAAGATGCTCCTGCTCAGAAAATAAGAGCTTCATGCTATTATCCATGCACATATCCACGCATTGTTTCATTTAGCCACTTCCAAAATACTCTTCTCCCCTGCTACATTTTTGTCTTCATTGGAAAAAAATACTCATGCCATTTATATTGTCGCTATGAAGGTTTTCCTTGCAACAAAATAACATGTGAGTTCACTTTTCAGACCGGAAGTGTTGGTGGAGGTGGTGTGGTGATGTGCCTTGGAGTCCCATCCCATTCATAGCCACCCTGTATAGGGTTTCTGAGGATGTAAATCTTTCCAGACGCAGAAAGCCTCATCTTTCTTTTACAGAGCAGCTGGTAGATTTGAACTGCTGACCCTGAAGTTAGCAGTCCAATTTGTATTCCACTCCACTACCAGAAACACAATTATCTCTGAGAGTGCCCACCAAGAACTGTGCAGATTAATTTCCCTTGGGCTTCAGAATTAGACCAAATATTATGAACTGATTTCCTCAATAGGGGATATTTTTTCTCCTAAATCAGACTGATAAGACTAAGCCCCATACATTTTAGTTAATGAGCCAGATATGTATGATCCAATCTCCTATTGTAAGGTAGGCTGTTTTTTTTTGTTCTGTTTAGTTTTGTTTTGAGATGTTCAGTCACTCATATTTCTGCAGCTTGCTGAGATCAGCTTTTATGACACATGTTCTTAATATGATGTCACTGGACTGTTAACCACAAGGTCGGTGGTCCAAACCCACCAGCCGCTCCTCGGAAACCCTATACAGGGTGGCTATGAGTCAGAATCGACTGGACAGCACTTAACAACAGCAAGCTGATCCAACAGGTTAGTTTCTTTCTCTCCATTTTGCTGGACTTGGGAAAGCCCACACAGTAGCTCTCCTTCACTGGTACACATGCCTTGCCAGGGCTCTGCTGCTTGAAGAGAGACATTTCTTGCAGGAATATGCTGAAGTTCATCCATGATTCTGCAATACAGTGGCTGAGTCTTGTTCTTTCATCTGGTTTGGAATCAATCACTTCCCAGCTACAGAGAAAAAAGAAGGAAAAAAACAGACAATTTTAGCAGAATTTTGGATCATTCTCTCAACATTCTTCGTTTCAGCATATATTCATTGAATACTTGCTGTTGGCCACACTCTCTGTGAAGAGCTGTGGACTCAGGCACACCTAAGCCTGGTGGAACTTGCAGCACCTAGGTCTCAACACTTCTGAATGTGGCATCTCCCCTCTCTACCCCTTCCCTGAAGAATTCCGCACTCTTTGATTTACACTGCACATCAAAACAGCAGTTTTGGCATCCTTGAGAGACTCAAATTGTGTTTCTTTGAAGTGTTCTTTGAGCTTGGAACAACAACAACAAAAAATTTTTGAAGGGGCAAGATCAAGGTGTAGGATAGATGGGGTAAGGCTTCCCCACAAAATTCTCATAGGTCAACCCCCTGGTGCCCTTGAAGAATGAGCAGGTGTACTCTCATGATGGGAAAAAAAAATTCCTTTGGGACAACTATTCTGGCCTGTTTCTCACCAAGGCAGTTTCTCAGTTTCTTACAACGCCATTAATACACACCTGCAATTGTGCTATGCCTTTGGGGAACATCTATCAAGAATACCTCTCTTGGAAGCCCCCAAAACAGTCACCATAACCTTCTGAGTTGACCAGAACTGGGTGGTGACAATACCGTCTGCAAAGATGAAAATTTTCTCCACTGTGACCAACCAAGGACAAAATAGGAGGTCCAGGTAGAATGGAAGAAAAATATAAAACACAACTCAAATTCCTGAAAAAGGTGAGACCTACAGGACTGATAAAGGCTAAAAGAAGTCCCAAGTCTATCGCCCTAAAGTAGCCTTTCACCAGGAAACGGATACTATTTCTACAGGACACCTTTCAGCCATATAACAGAACAACTTACAAATGAACAGTATAACCCATGAATAGTGTGCTCCCTTAAACAATGAATGAGGCCAGTCAACATTTAGCCAGAAGCAAAGATGAAAAGTCAAGGACGGGAAGGGAAGCTAGATCAACAGAAACAGAACAGAGATAACTAGAACACCCACAGCATGCAAAACATGTAACCAATGGCATGGAACCATCTGTATAAAAACTGTTACAAGGGGAACACTGGCTGTGTAAACTTTCACCTAAAACACAATTTTAAAAAACTGGCTAGTGATTACTTCTAAGTACTATGTTGCTATTGTTAAGTTCAGTCGAGTCAACTCCGTCTCATAACAACCCTGTATAGCGTTTGCAGTTCAAACGGCTTTGCAGTCTGGTGCATTAAGCCACAGCACCACACCAGGACTCTCTAAGTATCATAGGCATATGGATTTCTAGACACTTCCAAGAACATTACCATTAATGTACGTCACCACAGTTCAGTTTGGAGTCCTGGTGTGGTGCTGTAGGATCACTACTGGACTGGCTACCCACAAGGTTGTCAATTCAAACCCACCAGCTCTTCCTCGGAAACACTATGCAGAGTCGCTCTGAGTCAGAACTGACTCAATGGTACTTTACAACATCAACAACATACTTATATTGGACTCCCTCGGAGTGAATATGATTAACACACTCAGCTGCTAACAGAAAGGTTGGAGGTTTGTGTCCAACCAGGGGTAACTTGGAAGAAAGTCCTAGCTATATACTTCTGAAAAAAATCAGCCACTGAAGCCCAATGGAACACAGCTTTACCCTGACACACATGGTGGCGGTGGTTATGTGCCGTGGAGCCGGTTCCGACACACAGTGATCCTGTACAGGGTTTCTAAGGCTGTAAATCTTTACAGGAGCAGTAAGCCTCATCTTTCTCCCGCAGAACAGCTGATAGTTTCAAATTTCGGATCCTGAGGTTCGCAGCCCGATTGGTAACCACTTCGCTACCACAGCTGTTACCATATGTTGGTGCAAACTTGCCGGCAACTGTTTTTGGGGTGTTTTTTGTTTTTTTTTTTAGTTATATAATTGAGAATGAGATAAAATATTGAATATCACCTTTTCAGATTGCTTTAGTTTCAGATGAGGAAATTGAAACTCAACTTTTCTCAGCTGATTTTGGGCAGATCCAAGACCGAAGGCTTCCTGATTTCGATAATCACTCTATGTCTATTAATACACATTGCCTCTTCAAAGGATGCATTAGCTCAATGGCATCCTTTTAAACAGGTCACATTTGAAATGTTGAAGGCGATGGTGGGGAGGGGAGAGAGGGTGATTGTGGGGTCCCTTAGTAACATCCTTTTCCTGGAAAAGGGAGCCCTTTGTCTGCAGAATCCAGGCACTCTGTGACACATGCTGGCTGGCTGGCTGGTGTTGAGTCCTGGTGACTTCTGTACCCATGCACAGAGTTGCCCCATACCAAAACTCTAGGTTTTCCTAGACAGTCTCATATGGAAAACACATAAGCAGTGAACAGATGCCCTGTAAAAACTGGACGATGCTGGGAGACAGATCTTTTACACACTGTGTGGCTGTCTTCCCACAGGACTTGGCACTGCCAGCCGTGCCACGGGAGGTCCAATGAACATAAAAGGAGGGAAATACTGCTTGCAAACATTCTGAATCTCTTCCAAGTTCTTAATCAGAAAAGTACAGGTCTTCTATGACGTATGCTCCTCCAAGGGAGAAGAGTTCACTGCCAATGGCTTCAGTATTAGTATTCCAGGGTTTATGATTTTTCCTTGCTAGTTTCAGAGAGAGCATCTGTTTTCCAGGTTCAGTGGGAAGTAAGGCCCTTTCACCTTTCTCCCAGAGCTTTTCATCTTTCACCCTCATTCAACAGTGATATCATTGTCCACTCCAGCTGTGAGATGCAGTCATCTTCTGCTGACCATCACCCCTAATTCCCACAAGCACGGGGGGTCTGGTCAGGCAGCTCTGAGGGAGAAGGCTCACCAGCTACCTTCCTGCCCCTCCTAGCCCTGCTGTCAACTGTGCTGAGCATCTGCAGCTGTGACGTGCTTCCAAAAAAGGGTCACCAAACTGAACTAACCAATGCATTTCATTTAGAGTCTGCACTGGGTTAAGTGTTGGCCGCTAACAAAAGGTTGGTGGTTTCAATCCATCCACTGAGAAAGAGAATGCTGTCTGCTTCCATCAAAATTTACAGTCTTGGAAACCCTGTCCTACAGGATTGCTAGTTGGTTATGTGTCGTGGAGTCGGTTCTGACTCATAGTGATCCTGTATAGGGTTTCTGAGGCTGTAAATCTTTATGGCAGCAGAGAACCTCATCTTTCTGCCATGAGTTTCTGCTGGTAGTTTTGAACTGCTGCCCCTGAGGTTAGCAGCCCAACTTGTAACCACTACGACACAAGAGCAGAATCAACTTGATTGATTTGAGTGTTGGGCTTCAAAAGAAACACAAAAGTCAGATGTTTTGACAAAGGATGTTCTGAATAGCAAAATAAGCAATTATCTATCACAGTAGCCTGAAAACTGCTTTCTCTGCAGCTGAAGAATGCAGATAAAAACTGGAATAGAATATGGGCTAATAGAAAATGGGCTAAAACCCGGAAAGATGGCTCTTAAGACAAGCAGCACCATTTTACCCAAAACCAAACCAACTGGTTGATTCTGATGCTTAGCGACAATATGTGGGACTGTAAATCATTAGGCAAACAGGAAGCCCCATCCTTCTCCCTCGTAGCGGCTGGTGGGTTTGAACTGCCTATGTGGTTAGCAGTTCAATGCTTATCTTACAGCACCACTGGGGATCCAAAAAACTGGGTCTGACTTCCCTGTAGAATTTGAAGCCAATATCCATTCTTTTCACCTCCCAAACCCTAATGAAGTGCAGTCAGCAAGGCACATGATGGTTGTTAAGTGCTGTTGAGTAGCTTCCGACTCAGCAACTCTGCGTAGGGTTTCTGAGGAGTGGTTGGTGAGTTTGAACCACTGACCTTGAGGTTCAATCTGACCTTGAGGTTGAGTGTTTATCCTATAGTACTACACCAGCATTGCTGTTGTTGTTAGGTGCCATCAAGTCGGTACCGACTCATAGCGACCCTATGCACAACAGGATGATCCTGGGCCGGCCTCACAACTGTTGCCACGCCTGAGCCCATCACTGCTGCCACTGTGCCAATCCATCTCGTCGGGGGTATTTCTCGTTTCCTCTGACCCTTCACTTTACCAAACATGATATCCTTCTCTAGTTCTCTAGTGGCCGGTCCCTCCTGATAATATGTCTGAAGTATGACAGATGAAGTCTGCCCATCCTGGCTTCCAAGGAGCACTCTGGCTGCACTTCTTCCAACACAGATCTGCACCAGCGTTATGCCGGGCATAAAGGGGCATGCGTGTGAGTAGCTTCCGCAGGCCTGGGGCCACTCAGAAATCTGCATGTATAACCAGTGTCTCATGTGATCCTGAAGCTGGTGCTTCTCGCCTGCTGTCCCAGTGATTAACACCTTTGGAGAAAGCTACCTAGATTCCTGTTTCAAACAAAGTCAAGGATCACTTCGGCCTCAGGACAAGATCATGTAGCAGGAATGTTGATACCCTCCTATCTGAACCAACCAACCAAAGGAAACAGATGGACTCTGGCCATTAAGTTGAGTCCCTGGGTGCTTCAAATAGATAACATGCTGATAACTGCAAGGTTGAAGGTTCAAGTCCACCCCAGGGGCACCTGAGAAGAATGGCTTGGCAGTCTACTTGATGGAAAATCAAACATTGACAAATTCTGCTCTGACACATGAGGATGTGAGTGGGCTGGGTGGGAAATGATTTGTTACTTAGTGCAGCGGAATCTGAGAGAGCCGGAACTTGTCAGGGCTGCCTTGTGTTCTCAAGCCTGCAAGTTTGCTACCTCTGACAAGGTGTCGGTAATCCACCATTTCTTCTATCTATGTAGTCTACTGTTGTTGGCAAGTCGGTTTGATTCATAGCGACCCTGTATACAGTTTCCAAGAAGCTGCTGGTGAGTTTGAACCGCCAACCTTGTAATTCAAACACACTTTATGATCAGCACCACACCAGGACTCCCATTTAATAAGTGTTGCTGTTGTCGTTATGTGTC